GTCTGTATAATAATAATAATAATAAACTTTATTTCTACAGCACTCTCCAGCTCCAAGAGCACCAGAGTGCTGTACAGTAAAAACACACAAAACAATAACACTAGCAAAAAGGTAGGTGCAAACACAAATACTAACCATGACTAAAATTTAAACAGTAATACAGGTTAGGTCTCAAAAGCCTGCTTAAAAAAGTACGTTTTTAAAGCCAACTTAAAGGCCACTAGCTCACTTTCCGCCCTTAATTCTACCGGAAGAGCATTCCACAGTCTGGGGCTGTAGATAGAAAAAGACCGGTCACCCCATTGCACTGCAATAATCTAACCATGAAGTAATAAACGCGTGAATAGCCTTCTTCAGACCTCCATGTGACAAAAAAGGTTTAACCTTCGTTAAGAGTCTTAGCTGAAAAAAAAAAAAGATTTAACTACATTAACCACAGTAGGTGCTCAGGTGTGTACAAGACTGAGGTGTGTGCACAAGTCTGCAACTGTGTACACGAATCTGCTAAGTCAAGGGTCACAATGGCCTTTAGTTTGATTTGTGAAACATGCCGACTGAGCCAAACACAGCATATTTACATATTGCAAATTTGGTGAAATGGGTCCCGGAACTTTGGGGTAAAGCAACACTGCTGCACGGGTTTTGGCAACTGATGAGTACTCAAGACAGTCAAAACTACAAAAACGTAATGAACTTTCCTTCAGCAGGTCGGGTTTTACTGTGACTGAATTGCGAAGTGAACAGACATCCAGGTGCAAGTAGAAAATATATCTGTGACCGGCAGTCTGGTATAACTGGTCGAGTGGAAGATGAACCTGTGTTTAATATCCTCTGTCACACACAGGTGGTGTTAGGCTGCAGTGAGGAGGAAGGTTTATTTTGTCCTGCAGTGATGAACGGTCACCAGCTCTGCTCTGTCTCTGCAGAGTCGACAGGAAATAAAGGAGTTTTTCTTTCATTACTTTTCAGCTCAGTTTACCTGATCGTTTTGTTTACACAGCAAAACATCCAGGAGTGAATCTACTGTGGCTCATACAGGACCACAAAACCTGTCCAGTACCACTAATCTTCTGTCTGAACTGAAAAGAGGACTGTTCTCTCATCCTGCAATAAGATCAAATAGAACAAGGATCCACATCCTTTTGGTATGAAATTTCTTAGTCCAGGTCCAAATCCCGGGAGTCTGCTTCATGTCCTCGATCAACAGCAGGACAATAAAACTACAGGGAACTTTAACTATACTCACTGCTGACTATTAGCACACACAACTCCCATGTAGCATACATTCTCTCTTCAATACATTGTGTTCTTGTTGTATTTTTCATTATGCTTCTTTCATTGGCTGTTTTAAAGTGCCTTAGAATTTGGGATTTAGCTTTTATGTCACCTACGTATCTACTTTATATTTCATTTATATTGTGTGGCATTCGTGTGGACGGCAAAGTAAGAATTTCATTGTACAGGGAAACACGTTTCCTCACTGTGCATATGACAATAAACACTTGACTTGACTTGGTACAAACAGAGGTCACTCCGATATGGCTGTAACCGCTGACTGGTGACGACAAAGGCAAAAAAAGACAGAATGAGAAAATTAAATGTATTAGATATTTTAAGCCCCAGAGGGTCTAGTGGGACTCAAACTGACACTATCAGCTACTACTAACCGCTCTGTGCCCCTCCAATCCAAATGTCCTGTTTTCTGAAGTTACTAAATAAACTACGGATGCCAGGTTGGGACAAACTGTCCAAAACACAACCTCCAGTCTGAAGCTAGCGTTAGCTGGCTAACAATAAATGTGTCAGTCCAGTAGAACTGGTTACTGCTGACGTGACACAAAGCACTGATGTTACACAAAGCTCCAGTTCCTCCCAAATTAAAATCATATTAATTCAACACAAAGGTAAAATCCCGACCATGCTAGGTGGCTAATGCTACCAAAACAAAAAAGTTAGCTTTAGATGCTAACACATCCAGAAGGAAGGAGGCCACATCTGAATCCAGTCTGAGTCCTCTGGCTGCTTTTAACCCTCTCCATGTCAAACAGCCAAACCCATGTTAACCCTGGTTGTTGTTGCTCTTTCTTTGTCCCACTCTCTCTGTGCGGCGGGGCTGATTTACAGACTGTACTTTGACAACCCAGGGGGGGGAAGCTGAAATAACAACAGGAGGCTGTAGGCAGCAGAGGGTCATGGAGGGGGGGTGTAGCTGGGAGACACCACGTCCTGTCCCACCGTCACTGGGGTTATCAGACACTGTGGAGAATCTTAATATTTGTAGCTTCTGAACACAGGTGGACTACAGACTGTGTACGATCTGTCTAAAGAAGGCTAACAGAGGCATCAGTGACCCTGGAGAACAGTACTTTTTTCTTTATTTAGCTTAAGTAACATACAAATGACCGATCAGACGCACCTGCCTACTTCACCAGTTAATGCAAACTGTTATACTTGTTACATGATGTTTCAAGGACAGTCTTGACTGAGACACATCCAACAAAAACCAAAAACTCTTGTTGACAGAACAGACGCTACATGCTGTGTTGGTAACTAGACAACACGGCATGCCTGAACAATACAAAGTCAAGCAGCACAAACATAAGCAGGAGTTTGTTAGCTCTCATTCAACAGTAAGTCACCCGGTCTTCTCCCTACTTCCCTTTCTGCTGTATCTACACAGACCTCAGACAGATCCTGCTGTTAAGTTTCAATCATTCACTGAAAAGCACATCAGGACAAGCAGGTCCACACTGTGAACTCCGGACTCAGTGTCAGCTCTGGCCCTGAATAAACAGACAGCAGCTTCAGAAAACACCACCCCACTTTGCTTGTGGGGATCAGGTCTGCACAGTGAAAATAAAGTCTCCGGTCACTGCTGTCAAAGACTAAGTTCCTGTTCACTGTTTTCCAACTTATTCCTTTTGAGCCACTCACAGCGTTACACAACACTTCTCTTACAAATGCAGCAAAATGCATACAAAACAAATGAGGGCAAAAATGAGTTGAGTATACAAGATGCATTCACAGCTTTGTTTTATGAGACTAATACGCTGTTTCTAATTAGTGGGTGCTGCTTTGACCCTTTTTCACTACAAACATTTTTATTTTCAGTTTAATTTTCCATTTCCTAAACTTCCTTGAATCTGCTTGTTCATTCTCCAGCGGAAGGTGAGTCCTCACTGAACCGATGAGCAGTTATACATTTCTTTAACATAACTGAATATTTAATAAGTATGAATGACTCCAGTTGTCAGGGATTACTCCCGGTACTGCAGAGTTCAGTCTCACAGCTGGTAACAAATGAAAGTAAAAACCACCACCCAGCGTCCAGCAGGGCCTCGTCAGGGCCGTGTCTACAGAGCAGCATCAGGTCTCCTCTGTCGGAGGGAGGAAACCTCCTCCTTACAAACCAGATCCCCTCACTGTGTCCAACCACTTGAGAGTCACAGTGGGACTTTTGATAAGTCAAATAATCAAGAAAATAATCAGCAAATTAATCACTGACCCCTGCATTTTTTATTCCCACCCATTTATTCAGAAGTTTCCTTTCATTTCTCACCATCTGTTTTCTCCCAGTGAAGAAATATTTTAGTGCAGCATCCAACTGGAACACGACCAAAAAACATGCATAGACTTTGAGTTTAAAGTTTAAGCTGATGCTTGAAGCTCATGGTTCAGTTTGTAACTCACACAGGTGTGATATGCAAACGTGAGGCCACTTGTGTCTAAATGAAATAAAGTGTATTCATAAATTCTGAATTTGAGTGGGGAAAACTGAGTAGCAACAATTAGTGTCATAGAAATTATTAATCAAAGCAAAACATTTTTTTCATATGACTTAAAATGTGTGGGCGGACTCTTTAAGTTAACTTTTATTTTTGAATCGTTTTTTTTTTCTTTAGCAAAATGTTAACCAAACGTGCTTCAAGTAGATCAGGGTTTTTCCTTTAAAAATCCATAAGGTTCTCCAGTAACTTTCCCACACTCTAGTTTAATTTATTCAGATTTACTTCATGGTTGTCTACAGAGGTTTTTACCCTAAAAGAAATACGGCTTTGTTAACATCTTACTCAAGCATAAGGAAAATTTTGGTTTTAAGATTTTAGCATATGAAAATATTACACGTTATGATGATACTAAGATACTGAGAGAGGTGCTGCATTCATATAATAAACATTATAGTGAATACAGAGGGGAAAAGCCTAATTTAAAAAGGTGCCATAGGGTCACTGCAGACACACTAATTAGCAGCGCAAACACACTTCAGCTCACAGTGGAAGCATTATAGCAATATTACAGGAACCCTGACAAGAGGTAGGAATATAAAATATTATACACAGTGGTCCAGGCCTGGATTATCACATCCTATTACGGTCTATACATTCAGTATAGAGAACAATACAGGCGTCATAGCACCCTGTGGGAACATTACGGAAATATTACGAGGATATTATAGAGCACTAGGTATCACAAGTGATAATACAAAAATGATATATAATGAACCATGAGCACAAACATAATCAAAAGGTGGCATAAGGTCACGACAACTCACTGTAATATCAGAGGAAGATTATCCACCGGAAGCTGTGAATATTCAACTAATTTTAAGACATGAGACAGTAAAGTCGCAACAAAGGCAAAGCAGCAGAGAAACACTGCAGAGCGACATAACAAAAATATGAAAATATTATTCGGAGAAAACGGAAGGCTGTCACCAAAAGTCAGCCCTGGAACAACAGAGACAGGACACTGAAGGAGTGTTGAAGCAGGCAATGTCCGTGCAACGGCGCATACACATCGGTGCAGAAACACAGGCTTATTAAAGGAATATAATGCAAGACAGTCACCTAAACTGAGCCCCGAAGCAGAAGCATGACTGACACGCTGCAGGAGTATTACAGGATATTATAACGGCAAACGGAGCGGAGGAGACGCACACAAAGGCGCATAAAGAGCGCAAACCCCTCAGAATATTATAGGAGACATAAAGGAAAACATACTGAAATGGCGAAGGTGGAGACTCCTCTATCTCTGTCTCTTCTTCGTCCTCTCCTCTTCCTCTCTGCTCGAAAAGTCTGCAGCCTCCTTCTCTCCCTCTCTCCCTTTCTCCCTCTCAGTCTCTGTCAAGGTCTCTCTGCCACTCTCTCTCTCTTTTGTCGCTGTGATATCTGCCCATGCCTTCACTGGCGGAGAGCGCGATGGGGAAGGAGGAGGAGGAGGAGAGGGGTTGGAGAAGGGAGGGAGGAGGAAGAGGGGAGACCAAGACAGACAGGCGGGAGGAGAGGATGATGATGATGATGATGGTGATGAAGGTGTGGAGGGAGAATCAGACACTGCAGCAGTAGAAGAAGAAGACGGCAGGTTTACCTCTCTCTCTTTCCTTCCTCCTCTTCCTTTTCCTCTTTTTCCTTTATTTCTCGGGGGCGCGCACGCAAACCCAGCGACGCGCACGATCCTATGGAGAAGCAGCGGGGTCGCGCACACGCAGGCTCAAAGGATGGCAATGCAGTCACTTCCTCCGTCACTGGTTCCTTTTTCCCAGTTTCTGAATTAATTCCAATCGTGTAGACACGCGTGAACACGCACACGCAAGTCGCTACTGGCAAAGAAATGCAGTGAACAAACGAATTCGTCTGTAATTTAGACTTTACTATTATTAGTAGTGGACTATTAGTATTTCTAAGTAATTTTCCGATGCTTCATTAGTAGTACACCATTAGTTAGTATAACTCCTGGCTTGCCAGAGTATTTCCCTTCAGCTGGCGTTAAACGCTCCACCACGGGACTTGTTCTGTGTTTTTGGCTCTTGAACAGCTCTTTTCCACTACAGGACTTAATGAACTGTAACCTGGAGCTCCCCATGCCCTGACCCACTGGTGAAAATGTGTTTGGTCCTGCTTTTACAAAATATACATTTCCACCAGTCCCTCGTACTTTTTATTCCCAGGAACTAAAGCCCAAGAATTATCTCTGGGGTAAAAGTCTCGAGCGCATTTTGATTTGCATTTCCAAAAGCACTATGGTCGGCAGCAGGGTTCTGAGAGTATGGATAGCACATGACAGCGATGGAGATTTTTCAGGGGTAGAACTACATCCCTGAACCAAATTTAGACCCTGGGTCCTCCAGTGGAAACACAGGTAGAGGAACTATGTTCCAAAAAAAAGGTTCCTGCTGCTCGGGGAAAGTTCCTCTGGTGGAAACGGGGCTCAAGTCTATTTATTAACAACTGAGCTTTAACTCATGGGCCCAGACTGTCCCTCTACCCTCCTCATTCCTTTAAACTTTCCACCTGTCCATCAATTCTTCCACTCATCTTCCTCCCTCCTCTCTTCTCTTTCTGCTTCTTATTCTCCCCACCACCCTCTCTCTTTCCATCAAGTCATCCCTCCATTCTGCTACTCCTGCATTTCTTTCTCTGTCTCTGCTTTGACAGCAGACCAGAGTGAGCTGAGGACGGAGACAGAGGGAGAGAGTGGTAGAGCGAGTCTCATTTGAACAGGCTGACCTAGTTAGACTCTCCCTTCAATAAAATATTGAGACTGAGAAAAGAAATGCACTGGTCTCCTTCTCTTTCTGTCTGTCTCTCTCTCATTCTGTGTCTCCAGTTAAAGTTCAGCTCATTAATCTACATCTGAAAATGGGAGAATTGATTTCAGCTCAGTCAAATGTATCAAAGAGCAATGATGAAGATGAGAATTTGATAAAACTAGACACTATGGCAGACATTTACATCTGCAACTGCTCATGTATATTTGACCAGAAAAGTGATATTTCCAGAATAGCTGCTGCAATTCTTTCTAAATTCTTATGCATGAAAATAAAATACTGAAACTTTTTCCATCAGCGTCAGGTTACAGTGATAGCAGAAGTCTCACAGTGTTAAAGTGTCTGACGCTGGCAACTCTCAGTGAAAGTATCAAAATTACTGGTAGCTGATTCTTGGATATAAATTTTTTGAATTTTTGAATAAGCTGCACTTTTTAAAAGTCATCGATGTGATCCCACCATTAGCAGGTTTTTCTGTTATTTCCTCTTGGTACAAAACAGCCCTTCTTATCTCACTGAGCTCTTAACCACCTGCAGACACTCTACAGCACTTAGGTCATCTGGTCAGGGCTTATTAGAAACTAGCTGCAAACAACAGGGAGGCCATGTCTTTGCGGTTGCTGCTCCTAAGCTGTATGAACAGCCAGTTATGTTCAGTGTCGGATGTGGCTTCTTGTAAATCTGAATTAAAAACTTAAACTGGCTTTTTGTTCCCCGGTTGAGCGCCGATACTTTCTCACTGTTCTGCTGTGTTTTTATCTGTCCTGTGTTTTTCTGTTGTCTTTATTTTTGAGGTTTAAAACACTTTGGTTGATCTGTTAGTTGTTGTAAAGTGACTTGACTTGAAAATGATTGTCGCACATGGCGGTCACAATAAGGCAGCATGGTTTTAGTACAGTCTTCTCCACTGAACTAGAGGCACTTGAGCGGGTTTCAAGTCTCTGCAGGTTGCTTTAGTCTGACAGTGTTCACACACATGCACACACAGGTCCGTCATCCCCTCACTGATCTAAGCTCTTTAATCAGATTTCTGTCGTTCCTACCTGTTTGGGTCTGAACCACCAGACACATGCTGTCGACTTCTCTGGACGGATTCAGATACACATTCCCTCCTCCCTCTCTCTATAGGTCTGCAGTGTGTAGGTGTGCAGCAGTGTGTAATAGATTTTCAGTGCAGCTCTGCAGCCTGAAGCCTCCACCAGACTCAGTGGGAGAAAGTCAATTACAGCAGGCTGAGCCAGGCCTGCGGGGGGAGTACGGGTGGGAGATAAGAACATAAAGATGGCTGCTGCCGAGAGCTCCCCTGGCTGCATGCATGGGCGGCGAGCGCTGCACTTTGCCCTCCTGAGTCTTTCCAGATGCAGAGCCAAGACATGCAGAGTGAAACACAGGAGAGGACATGAGGTGACTATTAATAATCGCTAATATTATAATCTACAAGTTTGTTATCAATTCAGAGGTTCAATCTATAATATCTGACCAGCAGTCTATATGCACTTAGTTTAAGTTTTTAATTCTGGTTTCTATCAGTTACCACTCTCAGCACAATTATTTAGATGCTTTATTTAAGTAAAAATAACAAAACCTCACTGTAAACATCCTAAAAAGTGCTGCAATAAAATTTAACTTGAGCAAAATTATACAAGTATTATGAGCAAAATAAACTTGACTATTAAAAGTAAAAGCATTATGAAAAATGGACCTCAGAGGGTTAAATTATAGAGACCCCAAAGATTTAAACTCAATCATTTATAAAACATGTGGCATCTTTAGTAAGATTTAACCAAAACCAGGATGTTGCATTCACTGCCTGAACCTAACCACAGAAATGGACGTGAACCCCTCCACCCGGTTTGACAGTTGGTACGTCCACCCTCCCTGTGAGAACTGTATGGTTCATAACGTTCATTCATTCATAATCCAGCCAGTGACCGCCACCACAGCACAACTGAGAAAACATTTTTGTAAAATACAGACATATGTTCTGTTTAAGGTCTCCTCCACCTCCTGAGGGAAATACCTTTAGCTGCTAAATGCTCCACTATGTCCACCAGCTGGTTGCAGATGAGCAGGGAGTGGGCAGTGAACCAAAACAAAAAAATGGTGGTCCAAACGGCCAAACAACAGGCTTAAAAACAATGAGCTATGAATCTCCATGAAGCCGAGGGGAGCTGCAGATTCAGCTGATAGTTCTCTGATGCCTTTCGCATTATCTTTACATTGTCATTTGGTGTAAATAATAAGATTCATGCACTCTGGTCCTCATTTCTTCAACAGGCTGTTTGAGGGTTAAAACTTGGCTTTAGGGTTAAAGTTAGGTTTAGTTTAACATTGATATTAGTGACTAGAGAGTGTATAATGTCAGTCCAGGGTGCTCACAAGGATAGAAATACAATCATGTGTACAGTATGTGAAGCTCCTCGCTGCACAGGATTAGCAATCTTGAATTTCAAACAGAGAGAGAGAGACAGTGTCACACTGATGCTCGCTCGCTCTCACTCTCTGCAGAAGCTAATAAGCTCCATTGGTTTCCTCCTGCAGTGAGATGATTACAGCATTATCCCTCATATAGCCCCATTCAGCTCCCAGTACACCAATATACCCAGCATACTGAACCTCCATAACTGAATATATGCTGCCATGTACCCCTGTGCACTACAACTGCTCCTGGCCCATTTATTTGTTTCACAACATTATAGCGTAAAATACTGAGACTGTCCAACACTCAAAGAAAAATCTCTATGTTTTCTTCTTGTTAACAAATCCCAAGAAAACACCAAAACAACAATGACTGCTAGTTTATTCTGACTCCGTTCCACATACACTGTCTTGCTGTCACAAATACTCACTAGAGACCAAATGTGGATTCGTCCACTGCTGAAAATAATCCCCAACAAATGCGCAGTTTCCTCATGTCTGATTGAGTGAGCAGCTGTTTTTAAGAGCGTTTGGTTTCTGCTTTTTCCATGGGATTTGTGAAAAGAAAAAAATTAACAAAAAAAGTCAAATATTTCCAGCCTTATTCTTTAAAATGACCCAGGTTTAGATTTCCCTGGCACGTAGCTCATGTGGCATGCAAAGTGAGAAGTAGTTGCTATAGCACCGCTAAACCTTTTCATAGAGGAACTAGATTTACACTGAACATATTAAACCACTGACAAGACAAAACCTATGCTTTCCTGTTGGTTTGAATGTAGAGCCTTTATGTGAATTCAAGTAGTTCTCCATTGTGCTATACGTTTTTGGTCTCTAGATTAGATCCCAGTTTATTGTCATTACCCATGTACAAGTACAAGGCAACGAAATGCAGTATTTGCACTACAGAGCAGTATATCAATGAGCAGATCCCCTTCTTGTTTAATTCGTGCACACGCAGAAGGACACACAATCATCCATCCATCCATTATCTATACCACTTGTTCCTGAATAGTGTCACGGGGCGTTGGAGCCAATCCCATCAGACACTGGGCAAGAGGCGGGGTCCACCCTGGACAGGTCGACAGTCTATCACAGGGCTGACATGTAGACAAACAACCATACACACACACACTCACTCCTACAGGCAATTTAGAATCACCAGTCAACCTAAGCTGCATGATGTCTTTGGACTGTGGGAGGAAGTCGGAGTACCTGGAGAGAACCCACACAGGCACAGGGAGAACATGCAGACTCACATTCCTCATAGCATTCCACCCATCAGCCCATACATGCTACAATGCACCAACGAAGACATAGTGTAAGACCAACAACTAGTAAACATGAATGTAAACAATGCAGGTTTCAAATTCTGAAACAGAGAATTTAAAAAAAAATC